GCCTTCGGTGGAGCTCCCTATGGGGCCACGAAGCGTGTGAAGAGCATGCCGAAATGGGTGTGCGGGACGCATGCGGGCATGCCCACTGGGACCTTCGGCGGAGCTCCCTATGTGGCCACGAAACGCGTGAGGGGTGTTCCGAAATGGGTGTGCGGGACGCATGCGGGCGGCAGCACTGGGGCCTTCGGTGGAGCTCCATATGGGGCCACGAAGCGTGTGAGGGGTGTGCCGAAATGAATAGGCGGGGCGCATGCGGGCGCACCCAGCGGGGCCTTCGGTGGAGCTCCCTTTGGGACCACGAAGCGTGTGAGGGGTGTGCCGACTTAGGTGTGCGTGACGCATGCGGGCGGCAGCACTGGGGCCTTCGGCTGAGCTCCCTATGGGGCCACGAAGCGTGTGAGGGGTGTGCAGAATTGGGTGTGCGTGACGCGTGCGGGCGGCAGCGCTGGGGCCTTCGGCGGAACTCCTATGGGGCCGCGAAACGTGTGAGGGTGTGCCGAATTGGGTGTGCGTGACGCATGCGGGCGGCAGCACTGGGGCCTTCGGCGGAGCTCCCTATGGGGCCACGAAACGTGTGAGGGGTGTGCCGAATTAGGTGTGCGTGACGCGTGCGGGCGGCAGCACTGGGGCCTTCGGCGGAGCTCCTAATGGGGCCACGAAAAATGTGAGGAGCGTGCAGAATTGGGTGTGCGTGACGCATGCGGGCGGCAGCACTGGGGCCTCCAGCGGAGCTCCCTATGGGGCCACGAAACGTGTGAGGGGTGTGCAGAATTGGGTGTGGGTGGCGCATGCGGGCGGCAGCACTGGGGCCTTCGGTAGAGCTCCCTATGGGACCACGAAACGTGCGAGGGGTGTGCCGAATTGGGTGTGCGGGACGCATGCGGGCGGCAGCACTGGGGCCTTCGGCGGAGCTCCCTATGGGGCCACGAAGCGTGCGAGGGGTGTGCCGAATTCGGTGCGCGTGACGCATGCGGGCGGCAGCGCTGGGGCCTTCGGCGAGCTCCTATGGGGGGGCCCACGAAGCGTGTGAGGGGTGTGCCGAATTTGGTGTGCGTGACGCAATGCGGGCGGCAGCCTGGGGCCTTCGTCGGAGCTTCCTATGGGGCCACGACACGTGTGAGGGGTGTGCCGAATTGGGTGTGGGTGACGCATGCGGGCGGCAGCACTGGGGCCTTCGGCGGAGCTCCCTATGGGGTTACGAAGCGTGTGAGGGTTGTGCCGAATTGTGTGTGGGTGACGCGTGCGGGCGGCAGCACTGGGACCTTCGGCTGAGCTCCTAGGGGGCGACGAAACGTGTGAGGGGTGTGCCGAATTGGGTGTGCGTGACGCATGCGGGCGGCAGCACTGTGCCTTCGGCGTACAGCTCCCATGTGGCCACGAGCGTGTGAGCGTGTGAGGGGTGTGCCGAATTGGGTGTGGGTGACGCATGCGGGCGGCAGCACTGGGGCCTTCGGCGGAGCTCCTATGCGGCCACGAAACGTGTGAGGAGTGTGCCGAATTGGGTGTGCGTGACGCATGCGGGCGGCAGCACTGGGGCCTTCGGCGGAGCCCCTATGGAGCCACGAAGCGTGTGAGGGGTGTGCAGAATTGAGTGTGAGTGACGCGTGCGGGCGGCAGCACTGGGGCCTTCGGCTGAACTCCTATGGGGCCACGAAACGTGTGAGGGGTGTGCCGAATTGGGTGTGGGTGACGCATGCGGGCGGCAGCACTGGGGCCTTCGGCGGAGCTCCTATGCGGCCACGAAACGTGTGAGGAGTGTGCCGAATTGGGTGTGCGTGACGCATGCGGGCGGCAGCACTGGGGCCTTCGGCGGAGCCCTATGGGCCACGAAGCGTGTGAGGGGTGTGCCGAGTTGGGTGTGCGTGACGCATGCGGGCGGCAGCACTGGGGCCTTCGGCGGGGCTCCTATGGGGCCACGAAGCGTGTCAGGGGTGTGCCGAATTGGATGTGCGTGACGCATGCGGGCGGCAGCATTGGGGCCTTCGGCTGAGCTCCTATGGGGCCACGAAGCGCGTGAGGGGTGTGCCGAATTGGGTGTGGGTGACGCGTGCGGGCGGCAGCACTGGGGCCTTCGGCTGACCTCCCTATGGGGCCACGGAGCGTGTGAGTGGTGTGCCGAATTGGGTGTGGGTGGCGCATGCGGGCGGCAGCACTGAGGCCTTCGGCGGAGCTCCTATGGGGCTACGAAGCGCTGTGCTGGGCGGGTGAAGTGCAGGGAAGAGGGGGAGGAGGGAGGAGGAGGAGGAGGAGGAGGAGGAGGAGGAGGAGGAGGAGGAAAGGTAGGAGGAGAAAGGTGGGAGAGGAGGAGGAGAGGAGACGCGGGCCACCGTCTCTTCAAACCGAGGACCCAACACCACAGGATGGTTGGGAATAAAGGTTTCGGCGGCCCAGGGGGGGGTGCCCTGGGAAGCCTGGGCGGAGGGGCGGTTCCAAGGGGAAGTTTGGAAGGAATGGAGGTTCCAAGGGGGGGGGGTAGTCCAGGTGAGCTGGCGCTCAGGCTCAGGAGAAGGGCCGAGGGGGGCGAATCACCCATACGAAAATAAAGTGCTCGGCGGCCCAGGGGTGCTGCCCTGGGAAGCCTGGGCGGAGGGGCGGTTCCAAGGGGGGTGGCCCAGGGGAGCTGGGGCTCAGGCTCAGGGGATGGACCACGACGAAAATAAACGGTTCGGCGGCCCAGGGGGGCTGCCCTGGGAAGCCTTGACGGAGGGGCGGTTCCAAGGGGGGGTGGCCCAGGGGAGCTGCGGCTCAGGCTCAGGGGAAGGGCTGAGGGGGCGAACCACCACGGCTAAAATAAAGTTGTTTGGGTTCTAGAGCACAGTTGTGCAAGAGAATAAAGGGTTCGGCGGCCCAGGGAGGCTTCCCTGAGAAGCCTGGGCGGAGGGGCGGTTCCAACGGGGGGAGTGGCCCAGGAGGCTGCCGCGGGAAGCTTGGAAGGAAGGGAGGTCCCAAGGGGGGGTGGTCCAGGGGAGCTGGGGCTCAGGCTCAGGGGAGGGGCCGAGGGGGGCGAGTCACCACGACAAAAATGAAGGGTTCGGTGGCCCAGGGGGGCTGCCCTGGGAAGTCTGGACGGAAGGGAGGTCCCAAGGGGGGGGTGGTCCAGGGGAGCTGGGGCTCAGGCTCAGGGGAGGGGCCGAGGGGAACGAACCACCACGACGAAACTCAAGGGTTCGGCGGCCCAGGGGGTGCTGCCCTTGGAAGCCTGGACGGAGGGGCGGTTCCAAGGGGGGTGCCCAGGGGAGCGGGCTCAGGCCGCGGCGAGGGGCCGTGGGACCGAACCACCTCGCAAATATCAATGCGGTGCCAGGGGTGCTGCCCTGGAAAGCCTGGTTCGGAGGGCGGTTCATGGTGGTGGCCCAGGGGTGCTGGGTTCAGGCTCAGGGAGGGGCCAGAGGGAGAAACGAACCACCACGACGAAAAGAAAGAGTCGGGGCCCAGGGGTGCTGCCCTGGGAAGCCTGGACGGAGGGGCGGTTCCAAGGGGGTTGGGCCAGGGGAGCTGGGGCTCAGGCTCAGGGGATGGACCACGACGAAAATAAAGGGTTCGGCGGCCCAGGGGGGCTGCCCTGGGAAGCCTTGACGGAGGGGCGGTTCCAAGGGGGGGTGGCCCAGGGGAGTTGGGGCTCAGGTTCAGGGGAAGGGCTGAGGGGGCGAACCACCACGGCTAAAATAAAGTGTTTGGGTCTAGAGCAACAGTTGTGCAAGAGAATAAAGGTTTCGGCGGCCCCAGGGGCTTCCCTGGGAAGCGGACGGAGGGCGGGTCTACGGGAAGCCTGGAGGACGGGGGTTCCAAGGGGGGTGGTCCTGAGAGCCTGGGCTCAGCTCAAGGAGAGGGGCCGAGGGGCGAAATCACCACGACCAAAAAAAGGAGGTTCTTGAACAGGATTCGAATGAATGGGAAGTCTGGACGGGAGGGAGGTCCCAAGGGGGGGTGGTCCAGGGGAGCTGGGGCTCAGGCTCAGGGGAGGGGCCGAGGGGAACGAACCACCACGACGAAACTGAAGGGTTCGGCGGCCCAGGGGGGCTGCCCTGGGAAGCCTGGAATGAAGGGAGGTCCCAAGGGGGGGTGGCCCAGGGGAGCTGGGGCTCAGGCTCAGGGGAGGGGCCGAGGGGGACGAACCACCACGACGAAAATAACACGTGCGGCGGCCCAGGGGTGCTGCCCTGGGAAGCCTGGAATGAAGGGAGGTCCCAAGGGGGGGTGGCCCAGGGGAGCTGGGGCTCAGGCTCAGGGGAGGGGCCAAGGGAGACGAACCACCACGACGAAAAGAAAGAGTTCGGCGGCCCAGGGGTCTGCCCTGGAAAGCCTGGACGGAGGGGCGGTTCCAAGAGGGTGTGGTCCAGGGGAGCTGGGGCTCAGGCTCAAGGGGGGGGTGGCCCAGGGGAGCTGGCCTGGGAAGCCTGGAAGGAAGGGAGGTCCCAAGGAGGGGTGGTCCAGGGGAGCTGGGGCTCAGGCTCAGGGGAAGGACCGAGGGGGACGAACCACCACGACGAAATTCAAGGGTTCGGCGGCCCAGGGGGGCTGCCCTGGAAAGCCTGGACGGAGGGGCGGTTCTAAGGGGAAGCCTGGACGGAAGGGAGGTTCCAAAGGGGGGTGGTCCAGGGGAGCTGGGGCTCAGGCTCAGGGGAAGAGCCGAGGGGGACGAACCACCACGACGAAAATAACGGGTTCGGCGGCCCAGGGGGGGCTGCCCTGGGAAGCCTGGACGGAGGGGCGGTTCCAAGGGGGGGTGGCCCAGGGGAGCTGGGGTTCAGGCTCAGGGGAGGGGCCGAGGGGGACGAACCACGACGAAAATACAGATGTCCGAGCTCTAGAGCACAACTGTGCAAGATAATCTTTGAACACATTAGGGATCCTGGGACGTGTGACTATTTCTTTGTGTGCCCTGGGGCCCCTTTTGAAAAGACATCCTGCCAGGCAGCACCTGTGGCACCCCGCCCTGCCTCCACGGGCCATGCCATGCGGGCGCGGCGGCGGACACACCCCCGATGGAGGCGCAGGAGCTGGTCGTGCGCATGCTGGCCTTTGTGGGGGGGGGAATACCACACCCATCGGTCGATGTCTGTTCATGGGAGCCTTGGGCGGCGACACTGAAGTCAGCTTTTCCTGCATTTGGACCGCGCAGGGACCGCATTTGGCCCATCCTCCTGCTCCTCCTCTCCCCTCCTGTTCCCCCTCTTCCTCCTCGTTCTTCTAGTCCCCGCGAATCCACATCAGATCTGGTCCAAATCTGGCCCACATTTGTTCCAAATCCGGTCCAAGTCAGGCCCAAAATCGGGCAGCGCCGGGGGCCACGCAGGCTCCCATGGAACGGACACCACACCATCGGTCGTCGAAGGTAGGTACTTCTGGATTCCCAAATTCCGATCTACTTCCAGAGCCCTCCTGCTTCGGTGATCGAGCGGCTTCACCTCTTGCGTCCTCCTCGGGGGGCAGACGGAGCCCAGTCTGCGTTCCACGCCTTCCTGCTTCCTGTGTCGACCTACCTCTTCCGACCGATGGGTATCCGTGTCCGCGGCCTCGCGGGCCAGGCCCCCAGGCCGCGACCCCGCGGATTCGGGGAGATTCCGCGCGGATGTCCCGCGCGGATCGCCTCCGTGCGACAGCGTGTCCGCAGGAGGAGGAGGAGGTGGAGGAGGAGGAAGATGAGGAGGAGGAGGAGGAGGAGGAGGAGAAGGAGGAGGACGAGGAGGACGAGGGGAGGAGGAGGAGCAGGAGTAGAAGGAGGAGGAAGAGGACGAGGACGAGGACGAGGACGAGGAGGAGGTGGACGAGGAGGAGGAGGAGGAGGAGGAGCAGGAGGAGGAGGAGGATGAGGACCGAGGAGGAGGAGGAGGAGGACCGAGGAGGAGGAGGAGGAGAGGAGGAGGAGGAGGAGGACGAGGACGAGGAGGAGGAGGAGGAGGATGAGGACCTAGGAGGAGGAGGGGAGGAGGAAGACGAGGAGGAGGAAGAGGAGGAGGAGGAGGAGGAGGAGGACGAGGAGGAGGACCTAGGAGGACCTCGGAGGAGGAGGGAGGAGGAGGCCGCAGGATCGCGCCCTGGAGCGCAGAGGCCGCGAGAGGGCGGGCACGGACACGCGTGTGGGCGCCGCTCGTGGCGAGGCCTTCTGCGAGGGCGACCGGCCGTCCGCCCGGGAGGTGCTCGGCGAGCCCTGGATCGCCAGCGGCTCGCAGGCCTACGTCGGGCCCACCCCTCTCCGGGAGGAATACAGTCGGGGCCCTGAAGAAGGAACCCTTTTGGTTGGGGAGGGGCTCCGCGTTCCTCAAGTGTGTCACAGCTTGCCTCAGGGCTTCCTGCTGCTTTCGATCGGGAATCGAAGTTGAACTTATGGAAGAAAGGGGCCTCGTTCCTTATTTAGGGTTCCTTAGGTCAACGCCCCGACTGTACCCAAAAGGAGTCGGGAGAGAGTCTCGGGAGGATTTTTGTTGCTGATCCTTTTTTGGTGTTTTTTTTGAATCTATTGTTTCTGACTCTTTTTCTGATGTTTCCTATTCATGCTTTTTCTCCAACATGCCCCTCGTGGCAGGACGCGCCCGACCTAAAAAAATCGCAGGCGTGCAAGGCCGCCAGGGCCGCGACGGCCCCAGCGGAGTTCGGCCTGTGGAGGCCGCGCGACGCGCCGGGCTTCGCTGAGCGCGCGCGGCGCCGGGGCAGGCTGGCGCCGAGGCTGCGGCTGATCGTGGCCGCCATGCCCCGCCCCCAGAAGAGCCTTTTCCGCCTCTCGTCGGGAGCCTTGAGACGGGGGTCAATGCAAACGGGGGTCAGCCAGGGCAGCAGATCCTGCAGGATCCTGCGAAGACCCCCTCTGGCTGACCCGGGTTAGCGAGCCGCTCGTGGCTGAGAGGCGGCCTCGCCTATTGGCTGACCTGGGTTTGCGAGGACCTGCGTTGCAGTTGTTTTTCCTGCACTGCAGTTTTTGGTTTCCTACTGACGCGGGTCTGGATTGACCCGGGTCAGAAGATCCCCGATCTCGGGCCGGACGATCAGGCCTCGGAACAAACCAACTAGCGAACACCCATGCCGCCACATTCATCTGTCAACGCCTCCCCCTCTCCCCAATGTTCAAAGTTGTGGCGGTGGGCCCGACGAGATGCACTTCGACCGCAGTCTCTCCCCCGCGCGTGCCAACATGGAGTTTGGGGGGGAGGGGGAGTGTTCAGCAATTGTTTCCCTCTACCGAAAGGGGGGGATTGGGAAAGGGGGGTTACGAAGTCTGCCGCATGCAGCTGGTTTCGGCCCCGCTGCCGGGCCCATGCCTCGATACATGGGCGCCTCCCGGCGCCGGGCGGCGCTGGGGAAATCAGCCACGTGAGCTGGTTCTCAAGCCCCCCCTCTGCTATCGCCCCCTTTCGCCCGGCCCGATCCTCCTGTCGGGGCTCGAGAGACGGGGGTCCATGCAAGCGGGGGTCAGCCAGAGCGCCGGATTTGGCAGGATCCTGCAGGGCCAGGGTCGCACTGATCCCAGGTTCGGGTGCAGGCTCTGGCAGGATCTTGCAGGAGCCTCCGCGTTGACCCGGTTTGGGTGCAGGCTCTGGCAGGCTTCTGTAAGGCCTGGCTGACCCGGGTCTGGATTGACCCGGGTCCGAAGATCTCCGGTCCTGCCCCTCCTCTCGATGTGGCGACCCTCGTCCGCTGGGCGTTCGGCTCCAAGAGCATGTCTGGACATTGGAGATCTGTCTCAGTTGTGGTTATTGGTGTTTCCTAGGCTTGCCCTGGTGCCAGCTTTGGCGGCACGCGAGGTCGTTGGTTCTGTCCGCTTCGTCCCCTGAGCTTTCTTCCGCCGAGGAACGAGGAGCAGCATACACAGAATTGTTGTCGCTTCGCGAATCCCCACCAGCCCATCCAGAAACGATGCCCAGAGGAATTGCCTCGATCAGAGAAGTGGGCAGCACACAGAGGAAGCCATTATGAGACATCTTGGGATATCTTGAGCCATCTTGGAGGTCATTTTGGGCTCTCCCAGACGCTCTTGGAGTCATCTTAATCCGTGCCCCCCCCCAAGAGGCCTCCATGTGGCTAAAACCTGTGTAGAATCAATGATTAGGCATTCTCGCCGAGGCCTCTTGGAGCATCTTGGGTGCATCTGGGGGGGCTCTTGGGGCCTCTTGGGGGTCTCTTGGGGGCCTCCGGGGGGCCTCTTGGGGGCCTCTTGGGGCCATTTTGGGGCCATCTTGGGACCTCTTGGGGCTTCCTGGGCGCTTCTTGGGGCCATCTTGGAGGAGATCGATCAAACAAGAGGGGGGGTTTAATTAGCGCCCCCCCTCGGAAGCCCCTAAAATCGCCTCTTGGACCCCTCTTGGAACGCTCTTGGAGTGCTCTTGGGCGCTCTTGGGGCCGTCTTGGGGCTCTTTTGGGGCTCTCTTGGGGCCCTCTTGGGCCATCTTGGAACCATCTCCAGGCCTCGGATGGCCATCGGAAGCGAAAAGGCGAGAAAGCAAAAATCATTGATTTTCCTTAGGTTTTGGGACGATTTTGGCCTCTTCGGGGCCTCCTTGGGGAGCTGTTTGGCCACTTGGAGTTATCTTGGGGCCGTCTTTGGGCTTCTTGGAACCATCTTAGGAGCCATCTCGAGCGATCTTGCGCTATCTTGAGCCATCTTGGAGCTCATCTTGGGTTCTCTGAGGCGCTCTTGGAGCCGTCTTGGGCCATCTGGGACGCTCTAACTACCCGCGGCCCCCCCCGTCCAGGTCCAGGGGAGGGGGTAGGGGGAGGGGTAAACCCCTCCCCAAGGGGGAAGAGGGAGGGGTGGAAGAGGATCTGTTCTAGACCACCTACGCCCAGAGGGCTGGTGGGACTTTCGGAGCTCGGAATGGTTAGGTTTACACCTTGTTTTGCGCCTTGATGGAGACCCGCTGCTCAATCGCGCCGTCTATCGACAACGAGGCGACCTGGCGATCGGTGAGATCGGGCGGGGTAAGGCTACGGCCTGCGCGCAGACAGTCTCCCCGTGTGGTCCTGGCTGGCCTCAACAGGCCCCACGAGTATTCCAGAGCGGTCTTAGCCCCCTAGCCTTGGGGCGCGGGGGCGCCGCCAGAGGCTGCGCCAGAGTGTTGAGACGTCCATGGGCTACTCGTGGGGCATGTCAAGGCCAGCGAGGACTACATAGGGTCGCTGTTTGAATGGAACCCCGATCCTGACCAAGGGGGGGGTCCGATCGATCCGATCGGGGCGGTCAGGGCGATCGGGAATCGACTGGACGATCCGTGGATCGCGATCGAGGCCGATGCGCTCGAGCGAGCTCCCGATCGCAGGGAGTTGCTCCGCGTGCTGGGAGGGGTCGGGCCCGCTGGGTCAGGATCGAGCTCGCTCCTCGCTTCTCTCCTTCCTTCTCTTTCTCTTGTTCCTTATGCAGTACCCGTCCGAGCCCTCGAGAAATTGTTTTCCTTACGGCCTCCCTCCTCCTCCTCCTCCTCCTCCTCCTCCTCCTCCTCCTCCTCCTTCCTACTTTTATTTCTCCAGCAGCGGCCGCTGCCTCCTGTACAGATCAGCTCTCAAACACCGCATCGCGTATAATCCTTTTCGCCTGTCGCGTCTGCAGGTCCCGCCTTTCAGCGCTCGAGACCAGGCGGGAGCGCCAGGTCCACGGTCCGTGCGTGCCCGCCGGAGCATGGTGCCCTGCAGTGCGTGCTTGCTCGGGGACGGTGCGCCTCGAGGCCCGACAGCCGCCCCGCGTTGACTGCAGCGTCCCTTGGTGCATCCCGAGGAGCCCCGCTCGTGCATCACGGGATCCCTCCCGCCGGTCTGCGGATCCCACCTCTGGCGATCCGTCTCGACCTGCGGATTTTTGTTTGTCTTCATACCGTGTGGCCATGCTGCTGGACAGCGCAGCCAGAGTCCACACACACACACACACACACCGTTTCGGGCGCTCCAGGGCGCGCAACCCGTTCCCCGGTGCGCCCCGCGCCGGGCCTTCCGGCACGTGGCCCGGCACGGCCCTCGGCACAATAGGGGGACAAGCAGTGGCAGAAACACACCGTAGGACCGAGGCATGAGGTCGAGGTCGGTTCGGGGAGGGCGCCTTTCTTGCTCTCCATGTTCGTTGGACGTTCTCGTGCATATCCTGAGGGTGGAGGGTGCCCTCGGAGGCTCTGTTTCTTTTGGCCGGTGGAGGGTCGCCTGGTGCTTGAGGGATGCTCTTCTGCCCCATGTCCGACTGTCACAACTCGGAGGTCCGCGCGGACTCCTCGGATCGGCGCGACGAGCCCCATGGCCGCGCCTCCGGCGCCGCCCCTGGCGCGCTCCGCGCGCCCGGGAGGGGAGGCCAGCGCCGATCCGAGCAATCCGCGCGGACCTCCGAGGTTTGGATGTTTATCTGATGGGGCGGCCTGACCGACCCCCAGCAAACCGTCCCCTTCCGTGACGTCACCCCCGCCGCGCCCCAGGACGTACAGGCCTCGGAACAAATTTGCGAACACATGCCACGTTCATCCGTCAACGCCTCCCCCTCCCCCCAATGTTCAAAGTTGGCGGTAGGTCTGATGAGATGCAGTTCGACCGCAGTCTCCCCCGCGCGTGCCAACATTGAGTTTTGGGGGGAGGGGGAGTGTTCGCTAATTGTTTCCCTCTACCGTACGTGTGCGGCCGGAGGGGAACTCGAAAGGCGAGGATCGCGTCACGGGAGGGGATGGTTGTTGCTAGGGGTCGGTTCGGCCGCGCCCGATAGAGTGCCTGTTGCCCTCGGACACGTCCCCTTCGCCGCGTGAAGTCCGCGTAAGCCGCGCGTCGTGGATCCTCGGGCAGGTGCGCGCCCGCGGAGCCCGCTGCCGCGCGGCGAGGCCCGAGCATGCTAGCGCGGGCGAGGGGCCGCCTTCCGCACGGAGTCCTGGGCAGGTGCGTGCTCGCGGAGGGGGCTTCCCGCACAGATTCCCTCGGCAGCAAATCATGGGAGCCCGGTATGCCCTCTCGGTTCTGTTTTTGGCGTCGATTAGCGTCTGGGAGGAGTGGACGAGATAGCGCCGATTCAGCGTCGGCCAGCGTCGATGTAGCGTCGATGTGGCGTCGATGAGGCGTCGATGTAGCGTCGACGAGCGTCGATTCGCAAGAGCCGGTAAGGTGGTGTGTGTGAGGCTCCCATGAGTTGCCACCGAAGATTCCGTGCCCCCCACGCGAGGGTTTCGAAGGTGTTGCGAGGGAGCCCGGAGATGATCGAGTCCTTCGCTCACGCCTGTGGTGGCTTGCTTCCCCGCCCGAGCGAGAGTTTTAATCAGCGGGGCACCCCCTCCCGCCCAGAATGTTTTTTTTTCCAGCGTGAGATCCGCTCTGGCTGAGGCGAGGGGAAGGACGCGTCGAGGGACATGGCGCGTCTCTGGCAGGGGCGAGTCTTGGACGTGCCAGGGAACGTGCGAGGGAACATGTCAGGGGACGTGCCGGGGGACGTTTCAGGGGGCGTGCCAGGAGGCGTGTCTGGGGACGTGCCTGAGGCGCTCCAAGGGACGTGCAGGGGAAGCATTCTGCTATTCGGGCGCGGCTCAGGCATTACTCTTGCTGGCCCTTCGCTTGCCCCTCCCTTCCTCTCCTTACACTCGTTTCCCCGACCTGGAGGGTTGCCCACCTCGTCGCTAAAGGGGGAGCAGGCGCCTAAGAGGAGGAGGAGGAGGAGGAGGAGGAGGAGGAGGAGGTCTTTTTGGGGGGCTTCGCGGGGCGCGCGCCACAATGCCGCGAAGCTGACCAACGCGTCGCAGGCCCACGGCCGTCCCGGAGGCGATCCCAGCGTTGCCCCCTGTACTGTGCCCGCCTGCTGGAGAGTGCGGGCAGGACTTATCGGGGGCGGAAAAGAGGGGGGTGATGACTAGGAGGGGGTGGACATCATGGCGGGGGCCATGATGTCTCCCCAGATCTCATGGCGCCTCTTCTTGTTTCATTACGTCCCTGCCCCCCCCCCTCGCTGGGCCGCGCACATGCCGCCGGTCATGATTTGCACCCCCCCCTCTTGGACACCCCCCTCTTGGCCGCTCCCGAACTTAGCAGCTGCAGAATCTGGGAACTCCAGGTGCGCATTCTCTGGGTCCCAGGAAGGACCCGCACGTATGATGAAGAGGTCCGCACTCCCTGGTGCACTGCTGCTGCCAGCTTCGACTGAGCTTTGGCGGCACCGCTTCTACCCACATCGTGGTAAATCCAGGTGCGCATTCTTTGGGTCCCAGGAAGGACCCGCACGTATGATGAAGAGGTCTGCACTCCCTGGTGCACTGCTGCTACCAGCTTCGACTGAGCTTGGCGGCACCGCTTCTACCCACATCGTGGGAAGTCCAGGGGAGCACTCTTTGGGCCCCCGGAAGGAGGGCCCGCACGTATGATGAACAGGTCTGCACTCCCTCGTGCACTGCTGCTGCCAGCTTCGACTGGGCTTGGCGGCACCAGGGTTCTACCCTTACGTCGGGCCTGTCCCTCTACAGGCGGAATATTCAAAAATAGTTTTTTTGTTAAAAATATATTAAACACATCGTGTAGGGACTATGCTTCCACCATTTCTCAGTATTTTGGAATGTGTTTAGGGTATGTTTGATTTATCCGCCCAAAATCCCTCTGTAGGAGGACACGCCCGACTTAATACTACCCACATCGCGGCGGAGGAAAAGGCGGGAGGAGAGCGGAACGCTGCCCCACCATAGGTCACCTCGCCCCGTTCACCCGCGAAGATTGCAAACGAATGCGCCTTCTCATATCAGGTCCGCGCTCGGCCTCTGTGCCAACGCGGCTGTGGAGCGAGGAGGAGGAGGAGGAGGAGGAGGAGGAGGGAAAGGAGGAGAAGGGAAAGGAGGAGGAGGAGGAGGAGGAGGAGGAGGAGGAGGAGGAGGAGGTCGACGAGGAGGAGGAGGAGGAGAAGGAGGAGGAGGAGCTGCAGGAGCAGGAGGTGGTGAGTTTCGCTCCCGCCCCAGAACCTGACCCCGGAGGCCCCCGGAGGTTCCCGGAGGCCCCCCGAGGCCCGAGAAGGGCCGAAAACGTCCAATAACCGTCCGAAAACGTCAGTCGAAGAAGAAAAACGCCACAAACATAAACTTTTGGCGCTCCGCGCGGATTTATTCGATCCGCGCTGGGCCCCCCCTGGCGGCGCCTCCGGCGCCACCCCCGGCGCGCTCCGCGCGCGAGGGAGGGGGGTCCAGCGTAGATCCGAGAAATCCGCGCGGAGCGCCAAAAGTTCATGGTAAAGTCGAATGTTCTTCTTCTAGTCCGAGATCCCGCCTCGATGTAAATCGGGCGTGTCCCTCTACAGGATGAGCATTCAGAAATAGTAAAACAATAGTCTGGGGAAGATTGTTCGAATTTTTTTTTGGCAGTTTTTGAACATTGTTCGGCTATTTGTTATCTTTCCTCAAAAATCCGCCTGTGGGAGGACGTGCCCGACCGAATTCCAGTCCGAGACCCGTCCTCGAACCTCGAGGAGGGCCGGGACCATTTTTGAACATTCCCTGACTATTTTTAATTTTCTTCCAAAATCCGCCTGTAGGAGGACATGACCGACCAAATTCCAGTCCGAGATCCCTCCTCGATCCTCGAGTAGGGCCGGGGGGCAGAACTTCGGAGCCAGAGGAGGAGGAGGAGGAGGAGAAGGAGGAGGAGGAGGAGGACGAGGAGGAGGAGGAGGAGGAGAAGAAGGAGGAGGAGGAGGAGGAGGTGGCCGCGGGGCCTGCCTTGCGGGAGCCCCCGCCGCCGAGGTGCCGCCACCTCGACGCCGAGGCCTTGCTGCCGGCCCGCCTGCTCTTCCGCTGGATGGACCTATCGGGGAGGCCCTCCCTCTGCGCCACAGAGGCCTCCTGCACACTGTTCTCAAGCAGTGGCGAGCGTCCTGGCTCGCCTAGTGCCCCACCAAACAATGTTGTAAGAACCTTGTGTGGTTTCCACGAAATGTTCTTAGAACATTTCTGGCGGAGTCTGTTTTATCACATCGGGTTTATGTTCTAAGAACATTGTTTTGTTATTAGAGCATTTTTGGGTTCTAAGAACATGTCGTTGTAGGGCTATAGAAATGCCAGGACGGTCGGTCCCTGCTCAATGTTCGTGTCTGATGATTCGAGAGTTCTTTGAGTTTTTTGGGGGCAAGATCCTTTCATGTCTAGTTTTCCTGGCCACCATGGGGTCCAGGGACAATTAGAAACGAGCAGGATTAGGAATGAGCGCGATTAGACATGAACGACGTGTAGATGGGGTCGGAGTAGATTCGAAGAACAAAACAAACGTTACAAACATACATTGTCCTAGATTCAAATCGGGCCTGTCCATCTACAGGAGGAATATTTAAAAGTAGTCAAAAATAGTCTGGGGACCATTATTTGACTAGATTTGGGCATTTTGCGTAGTATTTTTGGAGTCTCTTTGATTTGACGTCCAAAATCCCCCTGTAGGGGTGACAGGCCCGACCTAATCCTAGATGGGGTCGGAGTAGATTCGAACAAGAAAAGACAAAGCTATAAACATAACTCTTGGCGCTTCGCGCGGATTTCTCGGCTCCGCGCTGGGCCACCCCCTGGCGGCGCTTCCAGTGCCGCCCCTTGCGCGCTCCGCGCGCCACGGACGGGGGTCCGCCGCAGATCCAAGAAATCCGCGCGGAGTGCCAAAAGTTTCCGTATATGCAGTTTGTTCTTCTTCCATAGATGGGGTCGGAGTAGATGTGGTCAGAGGATCGCGCCGCGTCGCCGATGCATCGGCGACACATCGGCGATGCATCGGTGATGCAGCGGCGAGGCACCGTCGACGTCGGCGATGCGTCGGAGACGTCGACGTGAAGAAGATCGGGCCCCCCATCGAGCCGCATCGGCGATACATCGGCGAAGCGGCGCGCTCCTCCGACCCCATCGACTGAGACCCCATCTAGGAGGCCTAGGTGCACGGGCTGGGGCCCGCGCGCGCCTCGCCAACGCTCGCCCTTGCGGGCCGGGGGCGTCCGACTTATCAAGCAGTGGCGAGGCATCCTGTCGACTGCTCGTAAGAGTGGCCCTTCGCCGGAGTGACGTTTTGGTGCGGGCTCACAATGGGTCCCCCGATCGCTGACCGCGACGC